ACTGTTCTTCTCTCTTTTTGGCTCTATCCCCACTTATCGTTTACTCCTTAGACCCTCCCCCCACCCTACCTTCTGCATATAAACTGACATTTTCCTAGCTACCATCAGTTCTGAGGAAGGGTTGCTGGACCCGAAATGTTAACTCTGATTTCTCTTCACAGATGCTGTGCAACATGCTGAACTTTTCCAGCAGTTTCTGTTTGGGTTAATAAGTAATCTTGCTTTGATTGGTTCTTCAGAAGAAGTGAACATAGAATGATAAATTTCTTCATTGGGATATAAAGTGATGTTGTCCATTCTGAAGCTAGGGTCCTAAATTTAAGGAAAGAAATCTGCAATGTCATGAGGGATGAGTTGGTGTGGTAGACTGGGCAAAGTAATTAAAAGGCAGTTGATAGATAATGGCTCATGAAGATATACTTGTCAAAGAGGGAGTGCAGCAAAGGTTCACCAGACTTTTAAGATGACAAGATTATCGTATGAGGAAATATTGGGTCGACTGGGCCTTTATTCACTGGATTTTAGTAGAATGAGAGAGATTGCCATTGAAATGTATAAAATTCTGACAAGTCTGGACAGATGGATGATGTTCCCCCTGGGCAGGAGGGTCCAAAACAAGAGGTCAATATCTGATGGTATGTGGTAGGTCATTTTGGAGTTGAAAGTTCTTCATTCAGGGCAGTGAACCTGTGGAATTGTCTACCATAGAAGGCTATGGAGGCTATGTCATCTAATATACTGAAGAAATAAGTAGGTAGTTTTTGAGGGGCTAAAGGTGTCAAGCAGTATGGGGAGAGAGCAGGACTATGGTGTTGAAATATGAGAATCAGCCACGATATGTTGAATGGTGGAGCAACTCGATGAGCCAAGTTTCCTGCTCCTGCTCCAATTTTCTGCATCCAAGTATTGCATTTTTGAAAGAGATGGACATGATCTTAGTTCAAGATCAAGGGTGATCAAGATCTAGAATTTGTTTGGTTAGAGACTAGAAACAGTGAGGGAAAGAGATCACTAGTGGGAGTTGTCTACAGGTCCCCTAACTGTAACCACAATGTGGATCAAAGTATATGAGAAGAAATATCAGGTACTTTTGATAAAATGGACGCAGTAATCATGAGTGACATTCAGCTACATATAAGCCAGAAAATTTGGATTATCAATGTTAGCCTGGAATGAAAAGTTTATAGAATGCTGTCAAGATAGTTTCTTAGAGTAGCATGTTCTGGAACTGCCCAGAGAGCAGATTGGAGTAGACTTGGTTTTGTGCTATGTGACAGGTTTGATTAATGACCTCGGAATAAAGGCACACCTAATTAGCAGCAACCACAATATGATTGAATTTTACATCCTTTGAAAGGGAGAAAATTGGGTCTAAAACTAGAGGCTGAAAATTACTGGAAATTGGTTAAGTGTCTATTTTAGCAGTCTTTATGAAGGGTTTTACATCTTCCCTCTTACTACAGGTGGACGTAATCACTGATGCTGGGACTTTCAGAGATTCCAGACGCTGGCGCGCTCTTTAAAACATAGTTGTGCACCGGTCAAGTGCTGTCATTCTGGAGCTGCCCTGTACGGTTTGTGTGAATTGCCTCACAAGTGTCAGATAAGGGAAAATTAGCATTTGCTTAGCTGGCAGGGACCTGGAGGTCTCGGTGGATAGGGTGGTACAGAGGAAGACAGTCCTCTTCCCTCAGGACTGGCAGAGGAAAGCATGCCACCTGACCATGCCCAGCCTGGTCTGAGGTTACCACTCATTGGTGGGACATTTTGGTGCTGATGGTCAGCAGGAACAAGCAGCAAGTCCTGCAGTGAAGTCAATGACCTTCTCTGCTCAGTGGAGGTAAGAAGCACTCTCTTTTCTTTGCTACTTCACATTCGTACTATCTCTTCTATGGCACACATCTCCCACCAGGGCTCATGTTCTACCACTTTCGCTATTGCATGCAACATCTTCCCTCACTCACTCTAACCCAAGCTTCCAAATCTTGGGGTCATCTGAGCAACCTACTTACTCACTTGGGACACCTCACTGCCTTTTTCCTCACCTGCATCAGAACTAATATTTGTGTCAGCCACATCCATCTCACCCAATCCCTCCAGGACTGCAACTGTTCCCGTGGTGATATTGAAACTTTAAAAGCCCAGCAACAGGGCAAGAATCATTGATCACTGCTGTGCTAGTCTCCTGTTACCACCTCAGCGAATGTACTTATGACATGTCAGAACTTCTACTACTTTTCCTCACAACAAACTCTTGTTTTGTCTCGTGCAGGCAAGAGTGGAATCCGCAGTTTCTGCCATCAAGGGGGCAATCCCACAACCTGTCCTTTGAGGAAGATCCCTCAGAGGATGTACAGACAAGACTAATAGCTGTACCTCCTCCTCCTGCCCCCTCAACCAGGTCATATACTGCGTGTGAGCATATGGCTCTGAGGATAGTGAACAAAAACAGAACTTGCTGGAAAATCATAGGGGGTCTGGTAGCATCTGTAGAGAGAAATCAGAGTTAATGTTTTGGGTCTAGTGACCCTTCTTCAGAACTGAAGACAGTGAACTTGCCTTTGGCCATGCCGCAATCAGCAATGTTGGACCCTCTAACCACAGATGCACCTGGGGTCACCTGACCTAAACTCCAAGGTCAGCAGGATCCATTGAAGGGCAGACTCCCTTCAGCTCAGTTCTGGAGTCTGGGACTGCACCTAACTGGAGAGGTAGGAGATGGAACAACACCTTCAGAGTGACACTTAGTTGCAAATACATCATTAGACTTGAAATCATACTTCCCATCATCAGCTGTGAGAGCAAATGTGATTTTAGCTGCAAACACAAGAATGGAAGCTGGCCATCCTCTGCAATACATTATGTGTCTGTCACAGGCATTAATGGGATTGATTCATAACTTTGCATGATGTGGTCAGGACTGCTGGGCAGCCAGCATTTGCACTGTGCATAGTAGGCTAATGCCGAAGGTTCACATACAGCATTTTATGATCACAATTCTCTTCCACTTGTAACTGTGTGGACATAGTTGTGCAGGACAGAGATGCTGTGAGCATCCAGGCAGACGGAAAGTGAGTGAGTGCTAAGAAACCAAGTGAGGAGCACTGTGTATTCTGGTTGAATGCACAAGTTGGTTGCTTGATCTTGTGTGGAGAGTGTTGTGGCAGCAGCATTATAATGAAAAGCACTAAAGTGCTCCAAAGTGCAGCATTGAGGTACATAAGCATCTTGTAGGAGGATTGCAGATGTGTTGTGAGTGTACATTGATGGTGGTACATATCTGCTGCTCACCAAAAATTCTTCTCTTTCCAATGTGCTCTGTTTTGACTCTGTTTCTAGCCCACATGGTTTATTTCCATGCTTCTTACCAGCTCTGAGCAAAAGGTTTTCTTCTGGAGTATGGCGTTTATGCCCATTGCTGCTCCCACGTACAGTGTTGACTGTCAATTTACACATTTTAGCTGCTGACTGTGTCTATTTGTGTCTTCTTAGAGTGATAATTTGACTTTTTGTCTTAAAAAAGTTTCTAATTGGTTAAATAGGTTCTCTCCACTGCAGTTACATTGATGTATTTCAGCAACAGCGACCACTGTTGATCGCCATCTTGAATTGGCTCCGGGTACAAACCAGTAGCAGCTTGTGGTTGGTGTAGTTTGCTGCTGCCAATCTCTCATACTGGGCCTAAGGAGCTGTATAATTATTAGTAGCAGAATGCAGACCACAAGAAGAGACACTTGTGTAACAAGATGTTGTTCATTGCATGATAGCAATAGATGCAAGTTATAATAACCAGTGTAATATAATTACAATTATTAGAAGCCAGAGATGATATATCTTTCTCCATTAGGACCTAGTTCTGCAATGCCTTGTTAACCACCTAAAGACCATGTGACAGGATTAATTTGGGTGGAAAATCACTTTACCTTTGGAACCCATTACCTCATTCAACGTGGGTGGGGCCTTCCTCTGGTACCGTGTAAATCATGGAAGGAGCACCCCCACTCCCGGCAGCAGAAGAAATTCCTGTTGAAAAACACCCATTTTCCTTCATGATTGAACACCTGCCCTCTCACCATCTCAGTTCTCCCTGCCATTATGCAGACATAGTTACAAGTAGATCAAAGCTGGGAACTAAATATTCAGGGGTACATGACTTGTCAAAAGGACATACAGGAAGGAAAGAGTGGTGTGGTAGCTTTGTTAGTATGAAATGGAATAAATATGGTACTAAAAATGATCTGGGGTCAAATGATGCAGAACCTATGTGGGTGGAGGTATGAAATAACATATGGAAGAAGACATTAATGGTAATAGTCAAAAGGACCTCTTAAGAGTAGCTGTTCTGTAGGACAGAGAATAAATCAGGAGAAAAAGTCAGTACATTAATCATGGATGACTTTAATCTTCATATAGATTGGGGAAATCAAATTGGCAAAGGTAGCTATGAGGAAGAGTTCAGAGTTGAAGTAAGGAATGCATTTGTGGATGACACCCTGTCATCAGTCGAGTGGCACAGGAATCAGTGCTGGGGCCACAAGACATTGAGTAAAACATTGCCCACTGAAGACAGAGAACCGGGGAGTATTGAATCTATGGAATTCTTCACCACAGATGGCTGTAGAAGCTGGATTGTTAAGTGTATTCAAAGCTGAAACAGACAGATATTTAATCAGGGAATCCGCCCTTACAGGGAAAAGGCAGGAAAGTGGTGTTGAGGATTATCAGATTAGCAATGATCTAATTGAATATGGGAGCAGTCTCGATTGGCGAATAGCCTACTTCTGCTCCTACACCTTGCAGCCCAGAGGGAAGGTCCTAAGGTCTGATATGTTGACTGACTCCTCTTTTTCCATAGATGCTGCCTGATTGGGAAACCCCTCCTCAAACTCTACTCATTTATGTTGAGTTTTAGTCTTGATGTCAAATTTGCCTTTCTTGAAGGGAGAAAGTAGATCTATGAACTAATGAGAACTTTCATCTATACATTTTCCTCTTTTCAGCATTTTTACCAATGGCGATCTGCTCATTCCCCCTGTGAGATTGCTTCTACCAAAATATACTGTCCAAGACTGGAATCGTGTCCTTGCCTTGATCACAGAGAAAGTTCACTTACGCACTGGAGCTGTTCAAAGGTCGATTTTTACTTACCTTTTTCGTTAAACCATGACAATATTACATACTGTTATTTCCTGATCTCGCTAGAGTTTTGTATCATCATTGGAGATTCTTGAAAGTTACAGTCAGTAGAAATTACAGATGTACATATTATTTTACACAGTTCACTATCTATTTAGAGTAATTTGCACATTCAAAATAATGAAAATTGCATGAGGAAATTAGTGTTGTTTACATTGGCTAAAATGAGAGTTGGTAATTAGCCCAAATTATTTTATTATTTTCAATCAAGCAAAACTTAGAACTAAATTTCTTATGAAGGCTAAAGCCAAAATAATACTCAAAATACATTGAGATAGAACTAAAGTTACAATTACTGGTAGAACTGAAATTGTACTGGGATTTGTAACTTTCGGATTAGATCCTGGAAATTGAGACGAGTGAATAAGATCACTGAAGCCGTACTTCATTTTTTTTCTCAACATTATTTATGGCTGGGAGAGCTATGCGATAAATTGAAGCAATTATGATATTTTGTAGTACAAACTTCAGGGAGGAAAACATTAGACATTAGGTGTCTTTTCCCTAAGATGGGGGATTTCAAGACTCGGGGGCATATTTTTAAGGTGAGAAGAGAGAGGTTTAAAAAAGACATGAGGGGCAATTTCTTTAGAGTGGTTTGTGTCTGGAATGAACTTCCTGAGGAAGTGGTGGATATGGGCACTGAAACAATGTTTAAATGATACTTAGATAGGTACACGAATAGAAAAGGCTTGGAGGGATATGGGCCAGGACCAGGCAGGTGGGACTAGTTTAGTTTAGGATTAGCATGGACTGGTTGGACTGAAGGGTCTGTTTCTGTACTGGATGACTTCATGATGCTAAGAATCTATGTTTGAGAGTGTCTTAAATACTCTGTTTACTAAGGGCAGAATCAACAGTTTGCATAATTAAATAGAAGTACACAGTAACCTGCTATATATAGTATATACTATAAAAAATAAAGCCAAGTATGGTTTCCAAGCACATTAAAAATGGAAGGCTCTGGTGTCTATAGCTGAAAGCCACAATTTGAAATCCAGGAGATTATCTGGAACCTTAGAAAACTTTGTATGGAATATTTTTAATACAGTAACAAAGAGGACTTTGTTTCTTTGCTTTCTAAATGTAGATTAGAAAAATGTCTAGGGGGACAGATTTCTGCACATATGTCCACAGATGATCTGTTATATATGTATTGTACCCAAAGTACTGAGATAGGCTTAAAAATTGCAGTATAAATGAGCGAATTAGCTTTGAAGATTTACAAAGTTCTGTGAGGATGCCATATTAACATTAGTAGAAATGAATTTATTAAGCTCGACACTTGAGCAAGTTTGCCATTGTGTTGAGTGTATTAAGGAGCTTTGTTTCCTTGTATTTTTCCTTCACAGGCAATTTTTCAAAAGCTACTATTGTTTTGCAGACATGATACACCCTGCAGCCCAATGAGATGAGTAATTGATCCAAGTTTAATTTTATTAATGTTGCTGTCATAAAATGGCTATCAAGGAAAGAGGACAAATCTATTTGTATGAGTGCTCTGCTATAAGTGGTGGGCGTTGTACCCATGATGCTGCTTGAACCATTGAGATTTTCCAGAACTGACAGTTTTCCAGTGTTATGTTTCAAAATATTAATATAAAGTTTCATACTCATGACTGAGAATACCATCAAAGGTTGCTAAGTGAAACCTTTGCTAGAAATTGTTGCACCCCCCCTGTAGAGGGGTGACCTTATAGAGGTTTATAAAATCATAAGGGGCATAGATAAGGTGAATAGCAAAAGGTCTTTTCCTTAGGGTGGGGGAGTTGAAAGTTAGGGCCAATTTTTTATGTGAGAAGAGAAAGATTTAAAAGGGACCTGAGGGGCAACTTTTTCACACAGAGGGTGGTTCACATGTTGAATGAACTGCCAGAGGAAGTGGTAGATGCAGGGACAGTTACAACATTTAAAAGACATTTGGATAGGTACATAAATAGGAAAGGTTTAGAGGGACATTGTCCAAATGAAGGCAAGTGAGACTAGTTTAGTTTGGGAAACTCAGCCAGCGTGGACTAGTTGGATCAAAGTGCCTGTTTCCATGCTGTATGACTCTATGGATCTTTGATTGTATGACACTGTGACTCTTATGAGGCTGATAATGTTTAGAAAGGTTTTTGAATTTCCAGTGGCTGACTGAAGGATCACAAGTGGTTAACAAAGGAGTTTCAAGTTTTAAGACATTTGCTGTAACAAACAAACTAAAGTCAACATTGAGTAAACACCATTTTATGGGCAATGTAACTACAGAAAAAATATTCCCCATTTAACTTTTAAAAGTACAGAAAAAATAAACCCTCTGTGGTTATACTTTATATTCTGTTCCTTGAGGGTCACTTCATTCTCCAGGAACCAGTCTAAAGTTATTCTCAGCCCCTGATATCTTCCTTCTACTTTCCTTTTCCATCTCTGAACTGACTTTCACAGTGAGAGGTACTCTGGAATTTCCTCCCCTGAGCCAATATTGGGTGAATCTTTCAGCCTTATTTAATTCCTCATGAACTTGATCTCTTCGACGTAAGCTCCTATCCCCATTCTGTGTCTTAAAGAATGGAGTCTAGCTATCTCTAATTCTCCGCTGTCTGTCTCCCAGATTCTTGCAGAATCACCAGTCTGAGGTTCAGGGATATCTCAGAAAGACCCTGCAACTTGATGCTACAATTGCTGACAATGGACTCTTCCCCTCTCAAAGATCATCTCCATGGTCATATCAACCACGTAGGCCTTGTATCCAGGTAGAAATGCTAATTAGTTAACCTGTGGACCCTCAACTCCTATCTTGAATTAAATAGACAATTTACAGTCTAACCGTCCATTCACCAACTGCACTTCGACCTGGTCACTGGTTACAGGTGTATTTGCACCTTCTTCCCAGTGTGACAACCTAGGCTTCCCTGTAACAACCAAGCCACCCAAGTATGTTAGACAGAATTCAGAACAGGTGACATGACCCTTTTATTTCATCTTGCCCTAAATTAAAGAGACAGTCTCAAAACATAACATAGAAACATAGAACATAGGAGCACAAGTAGGCCACTTAGCCCTTTAAGCCTGCTCTGCCATTCAATATGACCATGGCTAATTATCGAACCCAGTCTGCTGTTCCTGATTTCGCCCCATTCTCTTTGATACCTTCAGCTCTAAGAACTATATCTAACGCCTTGTTGAAAACATTCAATATTTTGGCGTAAACTGCTTTCTGTGACAGAGAATTCCAAAGGCTCATCACTCTCTGGGTGAATAAATTTCTTCTCATAGAGAGTCATAGAGTCTTACAGTATGGAGACAGGCCCTTTGGCCCAAATTGGGCCATGCCGACCAAAATGTCCATCCACGCTAACCCCATTTCCCTGCATGTGGCCCATATCCTTCTAAACTTTTCTATCCATGCATTTGTCCAAATGTCTTTTAAATGTTGTTAATGTATCCGCTTCAACCACTTCTGCTGGCAGTTCATTCCATACGACTACCGCCCTCTGTGAAAAAGTTGTCCCTCAGGTTCCCATTTATTCTTTCCCCTCTTACCTTAAAGTGATGCCCTCCAGTCCTCAATTCCCCAATCCTGGGAAAAAGACAGTGCATTCATCCTATCCATGCTTCTCATGATCTTACACACTTCTATAAGATTCCCCCCTCAGTCTCCTATGCTCTAAAGAAAAAAAGTCTTAACTTGTCCAACCTCTCCCTATAAGTCAATCCCTTGAGTCCTGGCAATATCCTTGTAAATTTCTTCTGCAGTCTTTCCAGTTTAATGACATCCTTCCTGTAACAAGATGACTGAAACTGAACACAATATTCCAAGTGTGATCTCACCAACATCATGTACAACTGCATCCTAACTTCCCAACTTCTCTACTCAATACCCTGACTGATGAAGGACAGTGTGCCAAAAGCCTTTCTTCACTACTTTGTCTATCTGTGACTCGACTTTTAAAGAATCATGCATCTGAACTCCAAGAACCCTCTCTTCCACTCCACTCCTTAAGCCATACCATTCACCGTGAAACTCCTACCTTGACTTGACTTTCCAAAATGCAACTCCTCACACTTATTTATATTAAACTGCATTTGCCATTTCTCGACCCACTTCCCCAGCTGATCAAGATACTGCTGCAATTTCTGATAACCTTCCTTACTGTCCATGATCCTCATTGCAGTCCTAAATGACGTGCCCTGTATCTTTAAACTGTGACCTCTGGTTCTGAACTCCCTGGTCATTAGAAATAACCTTCCTGCATTTACCTGTGCTAATCATGTTAGAATTTTATAGGTTTCTCTGACACCAGACCCCTACCCCCCAAATTACAACTCCAGTGAATATAGTCCTAACCAATCCAATCTTTCTTCATAGGTTAGTCCTGCCATCCCAGGAATCAGTCTGGTAGACCTTTATTGCACTCCCTCAATAGCCAGATCATTCTTCCTTTGATAAGAAGACCAAAACTGCACTATACACCAGGAGTGGTCTCACTAATACCCTGTACAACTGCTGCAAGACATCCTTGTTCCTGCATTCAAATCTTTTTGCTATGCAGACTAACATGCTACTTACTTTCTTCACCTCTTGCTGCACCTGCATTCTTTCTTTCAGGAACTGGTGTACAAGGGCACCCATGTCCCATTTATCTCCCCCTTTCCCAATCTATTGCCATTGAGATAATAATCGTCCTTCCTGTTTTTGCCACCAAAGTGTATAAACTCACATTTAAAAAGATTATACTTTATCTGCCATGCAATCTTACAACCTTCATATTTATAATTAAGTTCTATTGTATCTTTTATCACATTGTTCCCTTAAGCAAAGTTCTTCTTCTGAGCTAAATACACTGTAATTAGGAGGTTGCAAAAATCCCCTAGGCTCTCAACTCATTAACTATCATTTACTGTTCATTTTGGGAAACTAACTTAAAATGCAAAATGCTTATTCTAAAAGACT